TCATAAGATGTGATCGCTGATTCTTTTTTCTAAACATTCTTTTCTGGGTGTTCAAATTTTGTGTAGGTAAGCAATTATCTTGTGTAACCCGTAAAGCTTTGACACAGATATCTTCATTAGCATCAGAATCCCATAAATCATCCAATGTTGAGATTGGAACCCTTTTCTCATTTTCTGAAACATGCCCAAGATATTCATCCCCCGAACATGAATAGCACGAGTCACCGCAATAGCCATCCCAAACAAAAGCATCAGAAAGAGCACCAAGACATCCAGACTCTGGTACTTTGGGTTGCTGATGGTCAGTTTTCTCCAGAACAATATCAGTTACAATAGCTTTTCCCTCATAAGTGGGCCCCAAAATCAGATTATCACGCTTATCACCCCATTCATTGTGGATTAGTTTCCATTGAAATAAACTAATCCGTGTTGTTTGATCCTTATGCCAGATATTTTTGCAGGAAAAGGTAGTTGATTTTCTCCATCTGATCTCATTATATGCAGAGGCTAAGGAGAATTCACCCTCTTTATCTGGTAACCAAATTACCCTTCCATCCTCTCCAGTTTCAGTTAAACATTCCCCTACTATTAATGTTACATATTCTTATCCAAATGAAAGAGTGAGTAACCTTTGGAATGGCATTATCCCTAGGATATCTGACCTGGAAAAAATTTTCCCAAAAGGAGATATTTATTTTCCATTTCCACCATAGTTTAAGAGAGTATGCCTTTTCGATGTCTGATAACAACCCAATCCCCAAACCTCCCTCATCAGTTGGAAGCCAAATATCTTTCCAATTCTTCTAGTGATACTTTCTTTTATCATTCATGGAACCCCAGAAAAACTGACACATCTTTCTCTCTAAAATTCGAATTATAGATTTTGGAAGAGTGTCAACTGCCAGGAGATGAGCAGGCATGGAGTTCAGAACATGCTTTATTACGACAAGTTTACCTCCTTGACATAGATTCTTCTGTTTCCATTTAGACAATTTTTTTTTCAAAGTTATTAATAAGTTCCTTGCAATAGATAACTTTATTTCTTCCTTTATGCAGAAAGGCACACAAATATTTTAGGGGTAAATTAGATCTTTTCATACCAAGAAGGTTTTCACTTTTCAATCCTCTTAATCCTAAAAGGATGCATTTTCCGAGACACAAAGGTACTTATATCAAGATTAACTATTTGACTTGTTGCTAGCTGGTAGTAGAGTAAGAATTTGTTAAATGACATAATGGGTCTGGTAATTTTGTGATTAAATTAGATATGGACAAGGCTTTTTTATCGTGTTTCTTGGAATTTCTTGTGGGCTATCATAATCAAATTTGGGTTTTCAAATCAATTGGTTACAATTATTCACAATTTCCTCAGAGCAACAACTTTATCAGTGTTGATTAATGGTGTTCCCCAAGGATTTTTTTTTTAAACCTCGTAGAGGGGTTAAACAAGGAGATCCCTTACACTACAATAAAATTGATTTGTAGAGGCACTGCAAAATTGCCCCTAAAAGTAAGAAAATGGCCTCTAAAGCTTTTTAGAAGCAACTTAGTGGTTGCCTTCAAATAATCCGTCGCAAAATGTTGGTTGCCCCAAAAAACCTCTTTGGGGGCAACAACCGTGTGCTTCTAAAAAGACACACTTTTAGAGGCAACCGGATGGTTTTGTCTCATAATGCTATTAGAGGCACACCTGTCATTTGCATCAAAATTTAATTAGAGGCAGTAATTTATGTGATTCAAGACATTATTAGGGGCGATCATGTGGTTGATGCTAAAGTGATATTTAGAGGCTGCCACTTTGTCTGCTATACCTCGAGACATCATACATTGTAATTCAAGATATTGAGAAAGAACTTTTTTAACTACATCAGTTCCAAGTACACCGAGAATCGAAAATAATAAAAAATCTTTATTGCAAGCAAAGACTAGTTTTAATAGTTCAATGGTGTAATACATAAATAACCTATTTAAAGTTTAAACTTTTCACTATTTCATTAATCACACACTCTTACAAAAACTATTACAAGTTACAACATTCAAATTGAAAAACTGAAAAAGAACGAACTACAAGCATATGGAGAAAACATCTATGTAGCCAGGTGGTTAATCTTCATCGATTTGTCCTTCTTGTGGATCTGGCATGTTCATTAAAAAACTGTTGATTAGTACTTCATTATGTAAAAATTATTAAAATTAAAAAGAGTGGGGAAAAAATGAAACACATGATCATATAAGTTACTCACTTACTCGGAACAACAACTTGTAAGTTTTACGAGCTTTTAACTATTTGACTCATTGCTAAACACTTCATTCAAGAAGTTAGAGAAAAAGCTAGACTGTGCTGTCTGATAAGCAAACTCAAAACCATTTTCTGCACACAAAAAAACAGTCTTTAGATTAATCAACATAAAGAAAATCACAAGCACCAATAAAACCAAAACTCAAATTCAATTATTCAGAATACTCACGGGCAAAAAGAGGCAAGACTCCCAAGTAAGAGAACAAAATAAAATCCTTCCAGTAAACCATCAATATATGAAGCCCCAATCGATCAACAAAAAATGGAGCCCTTATCAGCCAACAAAAATACTAGCATAGTAGTAATCCCAGTCAAGCAAATATAATAACCTCCCTAACATATCAGTTAGATTGCAATGAAATATCATTCCATAAGGAGCCAAGCGCTTTCAAAATACAATAAACTCATGCCGATTGAAACTCAATGAAAAATCCCCTAGAAAACATAGCCAATTCATAAACGAACACAAACAGCCCATACTACCGCTGATGTATATCTAGTCAACTAAACATGTCCTGACATTGGACTGCCCTAAACGTTACATAAACATGTTAATCTTCACAATTGCAGAAGTAATAAACTAATAATTTGTGAAGTAATAATTTTTTTTCTCATGTGAATCTCCCGAACTTAACAATATTTTTATCAGTATTAGTTTTCCAACCTTCTTCTACCTTTACCAGATCTCATCGGGAAGGCTAAGAATCTAATCACCACATTTTTCAAAATTTCAATACAAAAGCACTGCTCACACAGTAATATTGCAATAATTTATCCACTGATAAGGCATTGAGATTTGATATGTACATAGTACTTGCATTTCTTATATACATAGTATATATTAATCTTTTTTTCTAAGATGACATAAATAATGTCATTAGGAATCCACGAAGATTCATGACAATTAGGCTGTGAATGAGAAGATAAATCCTATATCGCTGGCGCAGGTGCTTGATGCTGGAAATAATTCAATCAATGCTCTACTCAATCAACTATTTATTTATCAACTAATCACTTATAAACAACTGTCAATTAATGAACTTAATAACTAAATAATGAATCAATAAAAGGTTAAGGAGGTGTACCCGATGGTGAAAAAGACAAAAGCGGCTGAGGAAAAAAACAAGAATCGGGTGAATCGCGGGTATTGTGGTTGCTAAGCCACAGATGTAGATGTGCGTCACTCCAGGTGGTGGTGCCGGTCACTTGCTGTCTGACTGTCTGAGCGTGGAGCGCTCCAATCGCAAGCAGATTGAGCAGTCAGCACAACACTGGGAACTCGAGATGCGGCCAGGTGGCTGCCGGTCGCCGCCTTAACGTCGACTTACGAGTTAGCGTTCTGCCTTCGTCGATGTTAATGAGTCGATCCAGGGTCTGAAGTCTTCGATTCATCTTAGTAACTTTTCTAACCTACTCCGCGAATCCTACTTTTATGGGCTGTTTAATTTCGGCGATTGGGCCGGATATTCACGCCGATTTCAAAGTCAAAATAGTGGGTGTAAACTTTTTTCATTTTTTTGGCCTCTGGCCCTACCCCAAATGCTTTTACTTGAAATAATTTGTCCCCGATCAAATTAGACTTGGATAGTTATAAAAGTATAAAGGAATCAGACTAGACCAGCAAATTACAGTCCAAATAAAAGCATCATTATTTATATTTAGCTAATAAAAATTTAATGCTCCTATTTTGAATTTAAAAAAATGTTTTACTTTCATTTAGGGTGATACTTCATTAATTAAGAAATGAAAACGTCAAACTTCTTTTATATAGAAACAAAAAAGGTTAAGAATGTGTAACTTAATTATATAGTTATTTATTGTATTTTTTTCTGTTATACATTCTTTTTAACTAAAATATATATACACAATTATTTTAAATAATACATTTTGAGATAGATATTAATAATACAAAATTACTTTTCAAAATAGTACTCGTATACACTATTATTTTAATAACACCAAATGATTTACATTTAGATGCAAATGTTTTTAGAGGCAACTATACACTTAGACAATTTTTAGAGGCAAACATAAAACAGGTTGCTTCAAAAAGTGTCTTTTAGAGGCAAGTACAAATTGGTTGCCCCGATTTAACTCAAGCTTGTGGCTTTAGAGGCACCCCTAGTTTTCATGATGCTAAAAGAGTGCTTTAGAGGCAATAATATGTAAATTGCCTCCAAGAGTTGCCTCTATAGATCAATTTTCTTGTAGTGTTATCTCCACTTCTTTTTATCGTCCTAGCATCTGAAGCCTTTTCTAGAGGGCTTAATGCTTATATGAAATCAAGACAAGTCAAGCCTTATTCGATGGGTAATATGGGTCACCCAGTTTCTCACTTAGGATGTTTTCTTTTGGACTGAAATTTACTGGTCTGATCTGGTCTGGTCTGGTAAACGTCTGGTCTCTGTGTATTTTATAACTATAGAAGTCTGGTCTGATCTGATCTTGTCTGGTCTTGTCTGAGGCTGAAAATAGTCCAAAAGAAAACATCCTTAGTCATTGTGCTACTTCTTTAGTACTAATGTACTATGGTATGCACTCTTCAATATAGAAAATGGAGTCAAACCTATTTTTGGGTATAAATGAAGTCAAACCTATTTTTGATAACCTAGTTTGTGGTCCTGCAAGAAAAAAATTCTATGCGATAAAATATGTATTCTAATTATGTAAATTTGCTATTATTTTAGGAAATAACTAAAACTATTAAAGTAATGCATATTAGATATCTATTTTCATTTTACATCCGTTTTTTTAAAGAAGTGCTGTAAATTTACATATATGAAACATATATCACTGCATTAGTTCGAGATTATACGTTCAAACATTGTTGTCAAGTCTATAAGCTAAACTTCACAAAGCAAACACCCTAGAGAGATTTGATGGTCGATAACGCGGAGGAAGAAGAGAATGATTAAGAAGCCTAGACTAATTCATCCCTTGATATAGAGTCGGTGTTTATGGGATTGATGCTGCAGCCAGGTCAATTAGGAATTTCACGACATCACCTGAGGTCTTCATGCAATATCGAGCATCTGTACGAGTCTGGCCAACTGCACATGAGAAGTAATTCTCCTTCTTGAGATCCAACACATTCCATGAAGCATTTTCGAGGGGCTGGCATCGTCCATCCCCTGATGGGTTGTTTTGTGTTGCTTTTTTAGAGATCGATGTTGGCTTAGTCTTGTTTGATGAATTCTTTATCACACCCCCATGTTCTGCTCCTGCCATCATTGCATCACCTAACTTGGTTCTTGGAACTCCCATTGCATCACAAGGAAGGTCTGGCTCAAAAAATCGGTACACATCCTCATCCTGTGAAGTAACCCAAACCAAGCCACCATACAACCTGCCTAGTTAGTTCCAAAGAAATAAAAAGACCCTAAAATAATTATGCAATGTGAAAAAGAAGAATTCAAATTACCTTTCCAAAAAAATGCCCCATGCAGAGAACATAATCAATTGGAGTTGTGATGGATTCACTGTGAACTATTTCACCGAGTATACGGTCAATTGCTGCTCCCTGTGGCACAATCAATCACAATTTGTGTCAAGAGGCCATGATAGTATCAAAACTAATCTCATAGTTTATTGTTAGAGTTTAATTGAATTATAACGACAATCTAGTTGATAGAGTATGAGTTCTGTATGGGTAATATAAAGATGTCATTCCTTAGTAAAGTTGATATTATCCAGAATTACCTCTTGAGCTATGTAAGATGCAATTGAAAAAGACAAAATATCATTTTAGGGGGTTCATATGAGTATATGACATCACCTTGGTAACACCAACAGCTCGAACCTCAACAGTATATTGTCCTTGAACAATATCTATAGATGAATTAGATATTGAGCCACTGAAGAGATGTTGTAGCATATCTCTAGCCTGAAACCTTCCAAACTCAACATCTGAAAGTTAAACCATCAAGGAAACGATCACAAGGTAAGCAGGCATGGTCGCACAGAAAATGATCCAGAACAAGAAAAATGAGTCAAAAGATTCACTACTTACCTGAATACTTGTAGTTCCAAACAAGAGAAGTTTCACGCATCTCAAAATAAGATCCGGGTGTTCTTTCAGTGAAGTACTCAAATACATGCTGTAGAAATTTGTTGCATGTAATAGCAGTAATTCAGCTTTCATATGAAGACAACATAATAACACTTGCATTTTAATGTGTGAATATGTAAAAAAAACTAAATTTGGGCCCATTTACTCCAGATTAGGTTCACATTGGAATGCAAAAAATTGGACAGAATGAATAAATTCTGTTATTAACGTTAGTAATTGAGATTATTGATTGGGTTGCGGTGTCCTAATGTATGTGTGTGTGAGTGTGTATAACATTATATCATAGATGTATTGCTCATACCTTTACACTGTAAACCCAATCCATGTTTAGGAGCTCTGGCATTGTAGTCATCCATTCTCCATTTGTAGATCGAAGAAACATCCCATGCTCTGCTGCCAACCATATGTTGTACTTACTAAAGTTCTGCAAAAAGGCGCTTGTTATTCAAACTTCATTAAGAATAATGACTTATTTAAGGTGAGGGGAGAGGGAGAGGAGAGAGAGAGAGAGAGAGAGAGAGAGAGAGAGAGAGAGAGAGAGAGAGAGAGAGAGAGAGATGAATTACATCATCTAAGTTAGTTCTGTCACTTCCACTGAGAATAACAATTGTTGTCTTTGGATCCCTACACAATGCCGCTAAAGGTCCATTCAAAATGGGATGCAATCTAAGTTCCATATCTTTAACCCGATCGCAACCTCTTTTTGCAAGGCTATCCACCATTTCTGTTAGCACCCCATCGAAACCCTGTGGTGTAAAAAAGATATAAGTTCAATGGTTTAAACTGTTTTCGTACAAGTTATTACAATAAACTTTATCATGGAGGGAGAAAGAGATAACAAAAAATAACAAGATTATGCATGTCTGTCATTTAGGAAAAATAATTGAAAAGCATACCAATATCAACAGCCGGTTATTGGACTGCAAGTAGCGATCAATTGCATTATTGACATTGAATATTGGTGGGTCGTCTCTTATCCTTTGCTGAGCTTCAAGAACAGTGTCATTTAATTCACTGCCACCAACAGGAAAAAACAGAATGTGAGCATATTGGCAGGGAAACCAACTGGCCATTATTGGTTCTCTTTCATATATACTCCCTCAATCATAATTTGAAATTGGGGTAAACTAAGCTGTTTTTTTATATCACATTTTATGTTTGAAGTTTTTGTTATAACCAAATTAATTTAATGAAATTCAATATAACTCCTAGTGCAAGTTCTATGTATGCAAGTTTAGATGGCAAAACTTGGTCAAATATATTATTAGAGGAGGATTAATTTTAACTTCGCTTAAATATCCGAAAAAAGACATTTAAAATTGGGACGGAGGTATTAATAACATTGGCTCTTGATTTTGAACGACATGATTCAATGAATTTTTTTGTTCTTTTGTGACAAAATTTTGGAAATGTTTGTCCATTTCACTAAAAAAAATAAAGCCAATTAATTAGTTAAGTCTACAAACCTCACAAAAGTTTCTGCCCATTTTTGAGAAGTATGGGTTGTCACATGTGTAAAGTTAAGCAGGTGACGTTTTTCACGTTCATCAGCAGGCATATCTAAGGCCTCTTTGATAGAAGCTGCAACCTCTGAGACATTCCAAGGATTAACAAGGAGGGATCCAGCTCCCAAAGATTGTGCAGCACCTGCAAACTTCAAATATGCCCAAAAGGAACCCCAAAATAAAAACATGCATTAGCTATTTTAAAAACAGAATTGGAGTGCTTTAGTAATCACAAAGGTCTAGGTTCATGCATTGTTCTAAAAATCGGCCTAGGCGGACCGACTAATCGGCCTAGGCGCCCTAGTCGGACCTAATTGTAGAGGCCTAGTCGACCTAGTCGGTCAAAACATCGGCCTAGTCGGCCAAAAAATCGGCCTAGTCAGCCGCCTAGGCGCTAGGCGCCCCTCAACTGCCCGACTAACGCGTAGCGAGTTTTAGAATAATGGGTTCATGTTAAATGAGTTTTTAAGTTACAGAAAATAGAAAATGTTTCAATATTTAGAGAATGTAAAAGGAGCATGATAATTACTTCACTAAGGATAAGAACCCCTTTTTTTAATGATTGACAAGCCACGAACTCATAGCTGACAAGGTTCATTCCGTCACGTATAGATGTGATAAGTGCTACATCTGGTTAATCAGAGGAGTGAAACAAATTAAAACATGAGTGTCATTAAGAAATTTCAATGTTTAGTTAGATAGTGAGACACAATATTGATTATTATTGGTAGCATGATGTACTTTTTCACACATGACGACACTGGCAAAATGAGAAGGTTGGGGAGCCGGCCACTGCAGTTAACTTCTCTAATATATATACTCCATCTATCCTAAAACAGATTCATATTTCAAGAATTTGTTTTGTCCAAAGTACAAAGTTGAGTTTTGAACTTTCTAAAAGCTTTTAGGGGTATACATGACCTTTATATTCATGATTGGTACAACTATCTTGCAAGATAGTTGTAAAACTCCACTATTAAGTTGACTCTTTTGTGGGGGAAAATGAGAACATAGTTTACAACTGTTTTGACTTTTGATACAATTTATTTATATATTGGAGCAGTTGAACCCTCTCTTGGGGCATTTTTGTATGTGGATCATAACTAATTACCAAAAATAAGGAATAAATATGTGTTTGCAAATAGAAGTTTTGGAATCAGTACCGGTAATAGCATACAACGCACATAAAGCATGAAAGTCAAGAGAACGGTCCTGCAGATAAATAAATTATGGTTACCAAGTTGCATAATAAATGGCTAAAATCAGATTTCAAGATTTAATTGTTTATCAAAAAATAATAAGTGAACACTGAGCAACATAGAACTTCGACAATTATTCAATGACATTGTGAAGTCTAAACATATATTGACATAGAAAAGTAGAACTTTCCAAGAAAATCATATTTGAAGCAGAGAAATTGAAGTGTCTTGCCAAGACGTTACATTAACAAGTCAAGATATGGCATAAAGACGATAGAAAAAGTACATAATTATATCATCAACAATGAGATGAGGTTGTAGAAAGTTGGTGAAAAAGGTGAAGCATGGCCACCTTTTGGAAGGTACTAAAGTTATGTGAGACATTTGTAAATGGTGGTTATCACACTCAAAAAAGTGAAAAGAAAAAGCATTTTGACAACATAGCCTCATTACCGGAAAATAAAGTGAAGTAATGGTAATAAATGTATTAAAATTTTCCATGGCATGCACTAAAATCTGATGTAGGTCTAGATGTTTGTTAATGTCTAATGTTCATGAGCACATTGAGCACTAAGCATTACTTGTATTATTATATAAGCATAAATGATAGAAGACAAGACAAACCAGATGGTGAATGGGAAAATCAGATAAAGATCCAAATCTGCCATTGATGCGTCCAACAATCTCATGGACCTGATTGGTTAGCTTTTGATCTGTAAAGGGAGAAGAATAATTAAATGAGATCTAATTATTTGGGCATATAGATATAGATAGTACCTACATACTTAAAGAGTAATTGATCCACATGTTAACGCGGATACTATAATCCATTCGGATCAGCTACATATTAACTATAAGAATGCATACACATCTTACATTTATTTCACATTGAAGTATATATCCCATGTCAAATAAGTCATCAAAGTGTAACTTTATAAGCTCATACTGAGATTACATATTTATTACTACATATAATTTTATATTTTCCTTTTTATTATGTATTGCTTACAAAAACGAACCATGTATGATTTTCTAATGGTCTATATATACAAGCATGATCAAAGACACTAACATAAGTTTTACTGGTTGCATGTCCCTCAAAGGATGGAAACTCTCAAAAAGAGAACATAGGAACGTAAGAAAACATACACTCAGGAACATCTGTTCTCGTTGGGATAGCAATTTGCAGCAAAACCACTTTATCCTGCCATTGTGGATTTTCCTCAAGAAAATTTTCAAATGCTAGTAGTTTTTGGGGAATCCCTTTGATCATATCAAGTCTATCAACCCCTAATATGATCTGTAAAGAAATAAATACATAAAAAGATTAAAAGAGAAAGCTTGTGCATGTGAGCACATGCATGCATAATGTGTAAGAAGGTGACTGCACATGCAGTAATACTACGTAAACTTAAATAGTCGGGGAGGATGGAGGAAACAGAGAAAGTAGGCAAATCAAATATCCCATATAGACAACTTACAACTGTTAATTGAATATTTGGTGAATAATAAAAATAGAACAATGACTACGAGATTATATGTCATTAAAAATGACAGACACATTATGAAGAAGAAAAATGTCATGTATAAACATAATGAAAGATCATGTCACGTATGAAGCTGAATATATTTTAAATTAAAGTTACTCTTACAACAAATTTTGTTCTTTCAGAAATAAATAACACACGGATTTCAGAAAAAGAGTTGTTAAAAATTTAATACATTTTTTGAAAAGGAAAGGATACCTTTCTCCCCTCAAATCTCTTCAGCAAATCTACCATGTGGCTCTGCACTGACTCAGTTTCGATAGCTCGAATGAATCGGTCAGAATCTATTCCAATCGGAAACTATGGACAAGGAAGTGGACCAAAATGAAAACGAACCCTTTTAGAAATAGATTCATGGAAGTCATAGAATTTCAAGTATGATTTTGTGTTAGGGTAACCAGATGAATCAATGTCAATATAGTCTATAACATACCGCAGCTACTCGAGTCAGTCTTCCTTGATCCTCTACTCCTGCAGCAGTACCTTTAAGCCCAAGGATGCGAGTACACGCAGTAACGAAATGTCTTGCATAGTCATAAGTGTGAAAACTAAAGGACAAAAAGAAAAAGAAGGCTGAGATGATGACAATCCCTAGTATTATATCAGGATAGAAAATATTAAATGTACAGAGATGTCTCTATTGAGGTTCGAATCAAAGATAGGAAAAAGAAAACGAGTACAAGTCTTAATAAAGAGAATAGTAAGAGAAGATCCATGGTATTATCAGCTAATTTAAAGCATTTTCTGAGAATGCACATTAATTTGGAAGAAATGTACAAAACTCACTCGTAAATTCCAAATCATTCAAGACCTTATTAATTAGAGTGACTATAAAGCCCTGTGACATATTACAAAACATACTTACTAGGTAGGCCTTGTTCAAGTTTCCGTATAAAACTAACCATCTTTGTTAGGTTCTTGATTTTGTACATTGCACCCGGGAGAAACAATTCAAAGCAAAGACGTTATTTTAATCACCTCATTGTAAACTCAATATGTTGTTTAATTTCTTGTCAATATTAGTATTACTCATATATTGATTGGTTGAACAGACAGTAAATGGTAATTAATCAATCATTTGAGGTAATTAGTTAAAACTGTGCACTATCAGCAGAACTTACCCAACCATATCGGCAGAGAGAATTGCACGCAACAGCTCTGAACTGAATGGCAATGTCCTTTGTATTTCGGAAGAAGGAAATGGTGTATGCAAAAACCAGCCCACTTTCATTTTACTGTTGTTCTTCTTTAGACATTCAGGGAGGAACATAAGATGATAATCATGAATCCAAACAATATCACCATCCTTATAATGTTCACTCACTACATCAGCAAACATGTTATTTGCTCTTTTGAATGCATCAAACTGGGACTTGAAAGTTTTGGTCGTTGCAAGTCGATCGTCTTGTGGAAGTCCAAGATAATGTAGAAGCGGCCATATTATGTTATTGCAGTAACCATTGTAATACTGATCCACAATCTCATCATCCAGGAATACAGGAGCACATCTCTGTTATAATTGATGTCATAGTGTAAGATAATGGTTTGTGGGATTTATTATAAAAATAAATAGGAAATCATTTCTATAACATATAATTGGTGACATTGTAAGATAAAGATTTGGGAATTATCCTAAATGTGACATTAGCTGTTACTAGAGGCAACAAGGATTATGCAAGTGCATAGAAGACAAGGTTAGTGCACCTTTTGGGCTAATGATTTTGCAAGTGACTTCCTCCCTTCCTCATCATTGGTGAGATTCAAACCAGGCCAACCAATCCATATGGCCTCAAACTCATTTATACCTACCAAAATAAAATTGTCTTCAAATATCAGCCCCCGCTCAATTAGGTTGATTATACGATAGACCATCGTAAGAAGAAGATAATCTAACAAGGATAATTATATTTGTACACAAAAGTAGTACACAACTTGTACATAACCCCGTTGCCCGTTTACACAGACATTGTGTTAAAAATAGCAGAATTTTATGCCAAATTGTCTGTGTACACAGACAGTGTACAATTTGTGGACAAATTTTATGTAGAGAAAGAATTGCTCGATGTCGAACAAAGACTTACCAAGAAGAGCACTAACTAGACCACCAGCACTAATCTCTAGTGACCAAGACTGATCGGCATTCCTCGTTGCCGAGACTGGCAACCTATTTGCCACAACTAGCAGTCGTTGTCTGATAATATTTCTATCGCCCCTTTGATGTTTTTCATTAACTGCTCCTTCTACATGTTGTTCCACCTGTGGAAGTCCCAAGTCATCAGGCTCTACTCTTTAGTCTCAGGCATGTTCAATATAATCATTTAATAATTGGGCTGGGGCCGAAAAAACCTTAAACGCATTTGTAGCTATCAAGTTTAATAATTGAAAGTCCAAAAAAGGGCATACTTTCGAGTTTCGAAGTTACGGAGATTTGTCAAGTGATCTTATATTCTTATGTTTGTGATTTGTAGTGTCATGTATAACGTCTTTTTAGTTAGCTACTTGGGGTATCATTTTTACATAACTATCATTTTATAAATTCTCCGAAATTAAAATATTATAAATTGGGCATATTATAACTATCATAAAGTAGTGCCCGTAACAAAAAAAAACTACATAAAAGGGATTTTTTATTATCAAACACAAATTACTTAAATAGGATTTCATATACGATTTACAAGTTACTTTACATGTAATGAACTAATTAAAAAACAGTTGTAGTGATGATAATGATAAATCAATGCTTAAGACAAAAATCATAATATTTGACTAATACTTACTTACGTAGTGATTATAGTGATCATAGTTATATTTTTGGAGATGTTGTAGCAATGATAATAGTGGCTTAATTTACAATATAGTGATATGTGATGACAGTTTTATAGTGATTACTGATTAGTGATCGATCATTTAGTCTTAATTTTGTTCAAAAATTTAGTTGGTACCATTATAGGTAACCCCTCATTGCAAACAAATGCAACTAACCTATCAAAAAAGCAAATAAATAAAAGGAAAAGCAAAAAAGAGGAGCTATTGAAAAGCATATATATACCGGAGTTCCAGCCATCATGGTATTGTGTTCCGGCCTCCGATGCGTCTTTAGAGAATGGGAAACAAATTGAATAACCTCTTCAGAAAATGGTAAACAAATTAAATAAACTCTTCAGAGAATGGTAAATAAATTAAATAACCTTTGATGTATTGCCCAATTTATAGAAAAGTTGCCGTAAAAATGCACGGTAAAGATTTTCCAAAATGAGCTTTCAATTAGCATGCCAAAATCGCTTTGCATTCATTATGAAAATCCCCATAATTAAGAGCAATTTAATACGAGGATTCTAAAATCAATATTTGCCTTCTTAAATAAAAGTACTACTGAGTCATTGTTAGAAATATCGCCAACTATAATATAATCATGCTAAACCTTTTTTTGCTACCATACTATACATGATAAATGATAATGTCAAAATACGGCATTATGATTTCAGAATGGCAGCATGCCAGCATTTACACTTATCTAAGGAAAAAATAATACCTCTATTTTGAAATACTACATTTTTTTTTATTTTTTGTTTGGGAAAAATTTCATATGTTATTGCTTTTTTGTTCTCATGCAAAATCTATAAATAATACGTAGTACATTTCAAGGCTACAACTAAGGAAATCATTGTGACATGTCAATCCCATAATTATTTATGTTAACAGCACTTTGAAATTTAAAGGAACCTATACACGGTTACATGATTAAATATCCCGTATTTCACATTTTCATATAGGAATTCAATACATAACTCCTATGTAGTACGGAGTATTATTTATCATTGCCACCAAAATAAAATCCCATGTTTTTTTTAAAAAATGCTTTAACGTTTTTATTTGTAGTCCAATTGTTACTAAAAATAAATCAAAATTCGTAATTTTTTATTGAGGTAAGGGTCAGATTGGTACTCGAAGTTGCATAGAAAGGGTCAAATAAGTCCTTACTGTCCGGCCATCGCCATTTGAGGCGGTTCCCGGTGGAATTTTTTGATGAAATTTGTTGAGCATCTTATTCATTAAGTCTAGTTTACTCATACCAAATTTCAGCTAAAACTTCAATCGGGAAGGCATTCAAATGAATTCTTGAAGATAACTGCACAGTTATCTTCAACAATTCATTTGAATGTTTTCCCGGTTGAATTTTTAGCTGAAATTTGGTATGCGTAAACTAGACTTAATGAATAAGATGCTCAAAAAATTTCGTAAATGAATTCCACCTACAAACCGCCCCAAATGGCGACGGCCGGACAGAGTCTCCTATTTAAGGACTTATTTGACCCTTTTTATGCAACTTCAAGTACCAATTTGACCCTTATCCCATTTTTTATTAGCTTTCAAATGACACTGATATTGTATATACAAAAATATAAAAAATAACTTAACACTTTAAATTTTTTAAAGCAATACATAATTGCTTTTTATTTGTACTCGAATTATTACAAACTTTTAATCAAAAACTATAACTTCTAATTATCTTTCATATGACACCAATATTGAATATATAAAGAATTTTTTTAAAAAAACTTTTAAAAATGTTTATGTTTTAAAATGCTACTACGAATAATTTTTTATTTGTTTACTGATTGATACAAAAAATATATCAAATCCATAAATTTTTATCATCTTTCATATATAGAAATAATAAAATTAGTTCTATGATTTGTGTAGTTTAGAAACCTTTTTTTACCGTGCACGCTATTAATCCAAGTTGAAAATACATAATTTAAATATCTCAAACTTTGAGAGGTGTGAGGTATAATTTTCACACCTATTAATACCTCAAATTTGCACATGTATTATATATACCCCATCTTTTTATTCTAAAAGTTATTTTCACACCATGATTGTGTAATGTTTTCACAAATATAATTTGATGATGTTAAGTAAATAATATAAAATACACAAAACACTTATGTTGATGTAATTAAAATTATATTGTATCAGATCTGGATGTAATATTATCTATTCCTAAATGAACTTTTAGATGGTTAACTGCATCCAAACAAAGCTTAGAGTATTTTAAATTATGTACACTATTGCAATAAAGGGAAAAATAATAAAAATACACCAAACTTTAAAGGGATTAATTGCATAATTTAAAATAGAAATTGTGTCTTCATTCATGAATTCTAAAATATTTTAAATTATGCAATGAACACCATAAATTTACATTTTTGAAAAAAACTAATACTTGACTATGGTGCTAAAATAACTTTTTATACAAAGTTTGGGGTATTTAAATTACATATGCAAGTTTGGGGTGCTGAGCTCACACCCCTTTAAAGTTTGGGGTATTTTTATTATTTTTCTCGGCAATAAATTTATATTTATTGCAGAGAAAAATTTATCCAGCTACAAACAGTATGAAGCAATTAGCACAAACAAGCCGATGAGAAGACCAATGAACACAAAGTTCCGGTACAATCTTCTTGTTCTTTCGTAGAAGCACAGATAAAATAATACGTAGGGGTGGCAACGGGTCGGATTTATACCGGATGAAGGCTCATCCATGTCCACCCGTTAATTTTTCATACTCCACCCACCCGTCCATCATCCATTAAAAATTACATCCACATCCAACTCATCCATCATCCATTAAAAATTACATCCACATCCAACTCATCCATCATGAACGGGTTATCGGGTGTGTTGGGGTTTATTCCCGAAGATCCGAAAGCCCAACACAAGCCTTGGATATTGTAAGGATATTGGGTTGGATTGAAAGGTGTATAAAATATAAAATAGTGAGACAATATTCAACTCAAGGACTTACTTATATTCTGTAATTAAGCAATTACACTGAAACTACCCGAACGGTAGATGAATATGAGATTACAAGGATGGGAGATGTAAATCTATTGCTAAGCTCTGAGTCTTAAAATGCTAACCCCTTACAATGATTTAAACTGGGGTATTTATACTATAATGGGGATGGGTAAGGTGGATACGTGGCCGAATCTGGTAGGCTATCACCTCTGCCATGTAAGCACTCATGCCCCCACTTGCAGCTGTCATGATCCAGCATTAAATGCGGCCTCCACTTGCTGACCGCCCGTTCGGGCAAGGTGTTCGGTGTGTGGGACCCCGCCATAAGTGATAATTTCTACCCGAAGTATCCCGAACGCCGATCGACATTTGGGCCTTGATACTTTGGCATAATTGTTTCCCAGAATGTTCCAAGTATAAGTTTTATCCCGAATGCCGTTCGGGAGTTCTTTGGACTTGCAGCTTCTTCCCGGATTTGGGCCTAGGGATATCGGGCCTGGACCCAATATCCCAACATTAGTCCCCCACTTCCTATGTCTCGAACGGTAGTGAGTGCATGAGGAAGTAGAAGATAATTGCCCGAAGGCCGTTCAGGTGAGAATCGAATGGCATTCCGCTAGTTCCCGAGGTATATTTTGACGGTTATTTGCAACTGTCGTTTCACTTCTTCGATAAACGCCATGATTTCTTGAGAAGGGTTCTCCGCGTGACACGTGTATCCGTCATCATTACAGAAAACGTGTCCTCTTCTGATTGGGTGCTGAATCGGCGTGACAGAGTATAAATAGGCTCTTCTGGTTTTGATTCTGGGTTTCGAAACTTTGCACCTCCGGCTTATAATTCATCCTTCTCTCTAGAGCTTCATCCGCAGCTTCTGTTCAGGTATCCTTTGAGTTCCCTTCTACTGTTTAGTTCCCTCGTTCGGTGAGAATGGCACCCCTTCGTTCATCTGAACCCTCTACCTCCGGCACTGTACTTCCAGAAGAAAACCCCAACGATATGCTGCAAGTTGTCCGTATTCCGGCGGAGGTTAACGGCGATGATTCCTCTTCCTCCGATGTTTACCCTGATGGCACCAAATCGGGGGATGAATTGGAAGTTATGGAAGCCGGTCCTCCAAGCGGCGTTTCCTGTCATAAGCTTGACCTAGCTCTTATTAGGTTTAGACGCCAAAAGCTCACGGCCCAGAATCGGGCCCAAATTCAGATGCTAATTCCTGATTCGGTGGACTTCCGCCTTCAATCGGGTCTCCACCCAATGCGCCACTTCCCAGGGATGGTTGTGGTCCATTTCGACTCAATCAAGGCTGGTCTTAGATTCCCACTTCACCCCTTTTTTGTCTCCCTTTTAAATTTTTACAATGTAGTACCAGCCCAAATAATGCCGAACTCCTACCGGTCGATAGCTGGTTTCATTTGTCGTTGTCACAGTGTCAAGGTCATACCCACTCTAGAGCTTTTCCACTATTTCTTTTCAGTTATCCCCCAGCAGTCCCACGGCTTTCTGGTGGTAAGCTCCCGACCAGGACACATTTTGTTCTGTGAGGCTCCTTCTTCCATTAAGGGTTGGAAAGATAGGTTTTTCTTTGTCTCTGTCCCGAACGGTTTGATTCCTAGGAAGTGGAACGCATTCCCTCCTAAATCCCCCGAGCCATTCATCTCCGAGGAGCTTAGCAAAGATGTCATCGTTGTGGAGGCAGGAGGCTGCTTCAAAATCATGTCTTATCTGACTCCCGAACGGCTAATTAAGGCCGGGATAGGTACTGCCCGTATTCCTGGACTTACTTGACTGAAAACCAAGTACCATGGCCCGGGTGGTCCTTCCCGTGTGATATAACTTTTTAATCCACGTGTGAACCGCTCGGTACTAATTTGTCCTTGTTATCTTTTCAGCTCCAAAGCAAGGCGAATCTTCAGAATCCGAAGGAGCCAATCCCGGACAATCAGCAATGGATGACAGCAGGCTTTTCACTGTTGGATTCGATGATGAGCCACCAACCTCTCCTCCCAAGCAGCAGAGGAAGACAAAGAGGAAGAGGTTGAGGAAGGCCGATCAGGGGACATCCTCCCAATCCGCCCCCCTCCTCCCCGAGCAGCCTGAACCTGTTCGGGATGTAGAACCTGTGCAGCAGGTTGCTCCTGATCAGCAAACTCATGCTGACACGCTGATGGATCAGCTTTTTTCTGACCAGCAGTCCCACCATTTTTCTGGTGAGGAGGTGGCTGCCCATCAGGCTGACTTGGCTAGTCAGTTCGAGCGGATCTCCCTCTATGATCCTGCTCATGAGATGTTGGAGCGGGGTGGCTGTCCGGCGAGCCAGATCTGGTCCACGTCAGGATTTCTCAATGGCCACAATCTTCCCCCGATACCGGTGGAGGAGGCCGAGGAGTGTATTGCTCTGACTGTCCTGAAGGTAGCTCATTATCTTGTGCTCATAATTCACTCTTTCCTTTTCTTTGTTTGATAACTTATCATGTGCTTATATTTTACTTTCTGATCATTAGGCGGGAATATACAGCCTGAAACTCAGAGAGGCCAGGCAGGCAAAGGAACAAAGCCTGC